GTCTGAATTGTATTTGAGATGGTTCTTGAGGGATAATGGAATATGCTTCTACTGGATGACCAGTCTGGTGCTCATACATTGGTCTATTATTCTCTGATTGTAACAGAAGGTCTAGAAATGGTCAAGAGTCTAGGGCATTATAGAATATGTTTCTACTGGATGACCAGTCCGGTGCTCATACATTGGTCTATTATTCTCTGATTGTAACAGAAGGTCTAGAAATGGTCAAGTCTAGGGCATTATAGAATATGCTTCTACTGGATGACCAGTCCGGTGCTCATACATTGGTGCATTATTCTATGAATTGTAATAGAAGGTCTAGAAATGGCCAAGAGTCTAGGGCATTATAGAATATGTTTCTAATGGATGACCAGTCCCGTGTTCATACATTGGTCTATTATTCTCAATCTGTAAAAGAAGGTCTAGAAAAGACCAAGAGTCTAGGACATTATAGAATATGCTTCTACTAGATGACCAGTCCGGTGCTCATACATTGGTCTATTATTCTCTGATTGTAACAGAAGGTCTAGAAATTGTAAAGAGTCTAGGGCATTATAGAATACGCTTTTACAGGATGGCCAGTCCGGTGCATTAGTCTGATATTGCCGCTGAGATTGTCTGAGTCGTAGCAGGAGGTTTAGGGAGATCATGAGTGGTTACAAGAAAACGAAAATCCCTAAATATCTGCAAGACGGTGTTTGGAGACCTGAATCTGTAGTAAATAGAGGTCGAGAGGGCCTCTGGCGTGGGCTCTGGTGTTTGCAGGAAGCGGCTTGACTCACTCCACCCACACTCCCACTTACCATCAATTTGCCCTCTTGTTGGCCTTGCTGCTGCTCCTGCTGCTGAAATTACTTCGTCCTCCCTTACCGACAGGGACAGATGACAACTTAGAAATTCCATCCTAAAATCATAGACTTCAAGGAAAAACCTATCAGTCACTTTCCCTATGTGATTGACCATCTAATTACACTAGTCAAAATTTGAAAATACCGTCAAAATGTTCCCATCAAAATATCAACTCTGTGAAAAGTGGCTACAAAAATTGGCTTTCCACATTCCATGAGTTTTCGAAGTAATTGTAGACTTAAATGGAAATAAAAAAATATAAGTTGCATTTCATTTCTTCTTGGTGAAAATAGAAAGTTTTAGTGTTTTGAAATTCTTCTTCAAATGAATCTCACAGCTGCTTTGGAATAGCGGCTGAATCTTGGAGTTAATCTCAGCAAAAAGAAGTTCACAGTGCCCTTGGCCTCAAGGACTACCTGGCGTTCTTCAGTTTGTCTTCCTTATCTAAAACCCAGAATATCCACCAAAATATCATGAAGATAAAAAAAAAAAAGGGGGGGAGTTTTTTTTTTTTAAACATTCTCACCCCTTCGTTAAAATAAAAGAGCAGATAATAGACAATGAGACTGAATGACAGATTGGTAAAATTAATAACTTGTGTCGATAAGTCAATATTGTATCAATTGTTTTAAATCTCCTGGATATAAATTGAATAATAAAACAGATCTCTAGAGATGATTTTTTTTTCATTTTTATTAACGTAATCTCCAGTTTTCGGGTATTTCTGCCCTTCTTCAGGAGTATATACCATCTTAACAGCATTAGTTAGCGGCGTTTTTATTAGTTTTTTTTATGTATTTCTGTTGTTGTTGTCGTGTCCAATGAAGAGCCTCAGATGTCTCCATGCTTCTCTATCACAACAGCAGCAATGTCCACTATCATGTACTTCTTCTGTAGAAGGGCAGTAGTAGTAAATGCCAGAAAGCTCGAGATTGCGTTAAAAAAAAATGAAAAGAAACGCATCGACAAAAAACTGTTGCATTATTAAAAAAAACATTGTGTTACAATAGTTGCTCTATTGAAATGATATATAAGCTTTTTACATTTTGAAATTCTTATTCTTCTCCAAGAAAAGTTATAAAACAATTTTACCTTCAAATGCAATATATCTTTTACCGTCCAAATATTCCGACCCATATTACTCAAAGTGATCATTTAAAAAACGTTTTTGAATTAAATTCAATATTTTAGTTTAATTTTTTCTCTATTTTTCCTGATAAACAATGCACATAGCATGTGTTGAAATTTGTTAAAAATCTGTAAATTTAGTTTTGATAAACTAGATTTATAGTTCCTTTTCAGAAAGAGGGTATTTATGGTAATAGGTCAATGATTTCTATTCTTTTAACTTGACTTTGTTAGAAGTTTTCTGTATATATAGAAAAAGAGTACATATCAATCTTTTGGAGAAGGAAAATAGTTAGGCATGGATAAAATACTTCTACCATTTGAAAATCAATCAACCAATGTATTTCCTTGAAGGTCTCCGGTCAAATCAAACAAATTGGAATCAATGAATTAGCCATAACACCAGGCATTTTCAATGGTTATGATTTGCTATTTGTCCGAACTGTATGAACTGCTTTAATGGATTTTTAAACGAAAAAAATGTCTTTTCGCACATATTTGAGCTGCATTTTTTAAAATGTAATATCAACTGATTATTATTATATCTTCAATTTATTTAAATTTAAAGCGCTATGCCCCCCTAGAGACACTTGCTCGGTCCTACATGTAAGTCTTTACATTTGTCTATACATATTTACAATAATTTTAGGTCGTATAGTCATATGATAATAACAAGGAGAAAGAGAGATAATTATGTGAGCAATAGTTACCGAGAAATTATTTGAAAAAGTAAAAATTGAATCAGGTAAAAATTTATAATTAAAAAAAAAAAAACATTTCCATCAAATATTTACATAAAAAATATTATTACATTTTACTACACAGCAAAATACTCTCAGCGCCTCTTTGTTATTTTATAAGTTTAACTTTTTGAATTAAAATAAAGTTCTGTGCCACTCTGAGGTTTGACTTTTCTAATTCACTTTTGTGGATATGCTGGGTAGATTAGGGAAGATAAGCTGAAGATTGTCAAGCAGACCTTGAGGCCATGGGTGCTGTGGACATTCTCCCGAGACTGACTCCAGGATTCCACTGCCATATCAAAGCTGAGATTTTCTTCCAAAAAGACGATGTCAATATAGACACTACGATGATAAAGCTGCTCTTCACCCTGCAAGAAAAAGGATGCAGAGCTACTAGGGCCATTTTAAAGACGCTAAGGTAAACCTTGACCGGTATACGCAACAAAATTAGCAATCTATGGGACACAGTTACAATAGGGAAGAAGTGACAGAATATGTTAAATTTAATCAACACATTGTTATTTTACATATCTTGTTACTTAGCATCCTTCTCTCAGTGACTCTCTGTTCTTTTATGTAAATATTTTGGAATTGTTTGATCAAAATACATTGCCTTGGCATTCTTTGCCTTTTTTTGTTGTGTCTTTGCATATTTACTTTGCATATTTGATCTTTGTTGTAGCAGAAAATACAAAGTTTCAATTTAACTTATTTGTGCTATAAATGGACGTATGGATTAATTTGAGGAGTCCAGTCCAGTGTTAAGAGTCTATCAATAAATGATATTTTGATCCAATATATGCCTTTTTAATTGAAGATTTTTTATGAATTGCTCTATTTTAAAACACTTATATGTTATATAATGTAATGTTAAAATACCTATTTATGCTATCATAATTTTTTGCCGGCTTGCTATTGTATTAAATATTTGTAACAAATAAATTTACTAACAGTGTGTTTCTTTTCAATGATAATATTATCAAATATTATCTCTACAGACCTTACTGCAATAAATTATTGAATAAGAGGGCTTGGCTTATCAATAACTTATATCATTGCAGAAATGTCTGTAAAGATAATTTTTTGATGATATTATTGAAAAGAAACACATTGTCAGTAAATTTATTTGTTACAAATATTCTATATACAGTTACGAGCGTCATGCGTTCTTCATCTCTGTCACCGTTTGCTTTTTTTTTTTTTTTGGAATGGCGCTCTCCTATTGGTTCGCTACGATGGCGCCGCCACTGCGCGAGACACTTTGCCCCCCCACTCGCTTTTTGGTTTTTGTAACTATTGTGTTGGAGCGGGTCGCTCCTTAAATAAATGCATATATTAGTTAATAACTAAATGGAATCCTCTCTTTCTTTTTCTCAGTAAGAGACGCCTACGGAAGCCAACAGTACATAGACAGATAAAGCACATGGGCTATAGTTATTAACTAATATATGCATTTATTTAAGGCGCCAATTTATAATTGTAACAAATAGTATTTGAATAAAAACATTCAATCGGGTAAAACACGGGCGTTAATGATCCAACAGGTCCACGTGTCTAAATTAAAACACGGGCGTTGCCCAGGTCATTCGGCTAGTTTAATATAATAGCAAGCCGACAAAAAATGTTATCGTAACATATATATATATTTTAAATTATTATGATTATAAGTATTTTAAAGTATTATTGATTATTTTTAGGTAACATACACAGTACTATTTATATTTAAAGATCCCCTATTTAAAATTTTTCTCGATTTAACACTCAGGTTTTAAATATTTCTTTGTGTGAAATCAGTAAACAAAACCTCTTTACAATAATTTCTCTCCTCGGCTTTGCTATAATTTATCAAATTATAAACTATAAATTATAAAAAAGAAATACATTGTCAGTAAGTTAATTGATAGATAACAATTGAATTTATAAATATTAAATATTGCTTAGAGATTATTTTCTGGTTCTTTTGAGTACATAGTACTTAATGGTAGTGTATGCAGTCGTGCCATATTGAAAGAAGATATAATAAATAAATTTATATCACATTTTGCTTTAATGGAAATGATGAAAATAATTAAGGAAGAAATACCTGATTTAAGGCGAGTAGAATAAAGAAAACAAAAGATATATTTGTAGATCGAAATTTGAAAATTATACCGCAAATGTTTTTTTTTTTGAACGAAAAATCTAAATTTATTTTAAGGAGGAATAACGATTATTTCTAACCTTAGGGATGAAGTATGAAAGGATGAATTGTAAAGTGTAATGATAAACGGAAAATGAAATGTCTAAGGTAGCCTAGTGGACATGGCAAATGCCTAGTCAACGGAACACTGTGGGTTCGATTCCCATCCCTGGACACTTTTATTTTTCCGTTTATCATTACTCTTCACAATTCATCCGTTCATTCTTCATCCCTAAGGTTAAAAATAATCGTTATTTCTCCTTAAAATAAATTTCGATTTTTCGTTCAAAAGAAACATTTGCGGTATAATTTTCAAAATTCGATCTACAATCATAAGACGCATTATATTGTATTATAAAATATATATTTGCATATTACAAAATATTTGAGCTGGCCAAAGTAAAAGAGAGAAGATATGGTTTTTACGTGCAACTAAACAAAGTGTATGATTTTCGAGCCCAAAAATGAATGTAGCAAGCAGACAAGCCGCAATGCACTATAGCAAAATACCAAGGTGCCACCAAGGTTGTTCAAAAAGGTTAGATTCCCCAGGTCAGGGAAGATAAAAGAAAGACAGGTATTGATTAGATAAGAATATTAGATGAAGCGGGAATGATTCAACAAGTGCTGGGAAAAGATAGATTTTATTTTTGTAAAAATAAAAATAAAAAACGAAGAAAAGGCCAAAGTAGAGAGAGAAAATATCTTTATTTACCGGGCTTCTAACCAAAATAAATGATTTTTGAGCCCCAATGGCCGCGTAAAGCGGAATATATAAAACCACTATGACCAGGGTGGAGAGGCTAAGGACAGGATCACCGTTAGGGAAGAGGCAGGTTAGGCCGGATTGGGTCCGCGGAGGTCAGGAGGCAGGAAGAAGGCGGGAGGACTAGAACTTTGCAGCTCTAGCTCTGGCAGTTGGGCAAGACATTGATCTTGCCTCGTGGTCGGCAGAGAGGCCCTTGGCTGAGCAGTTGGCGCACTTGGCCGTGCGCGGGATGGCAAGAGTTGGACAGCTTCGGCCTTGGTGGTCACCAGAAGCGCAGTGGAAGCAGGTGACTGTAGCCTTGGTGCACCTATCGGCGTTGTGGCCGTAGCCACAGCAGCGGTAGCAGACGCGGACGCGGAGAGACTCCTCGTAGTTCAGGATCACTTGGTCCACAATGATTCTGCCACGTCTTCCAATGGCCTTGTAGGAAGCCAAGTCCAGCTCAATAAAGGCCGTGCAGGTGCCATTTCTGGTCGGAGATCTGTGTGCCACTCGGACACACTTGTCTCCAGGAAGCTGGCTGAGGGCATCGGTGTAAAGGAAGGCCTTGACAATGTCCTCATCCGCGGTTTCCGCCTCCACGTTGAGGAGGCAGATTCTTGGGAGGAATTGCCTCAGTTCCCGGACTTTCAGGTCTTGTAGCTTGTTGTACAGAGCAGAGCTGATGGCAGGAATGGCCTCTGGAGTGTTAGAGTGCAGCACCAGTTTTCCCCTGGTGCGCAGAGACGCCCAGACGCCTTGGGGCAGAGTGTGAGCAGCGCGGACAGCTTTGAGGATGTCTCGTGGGTCAGCCTGCGGGTTATCTGCAATAACCACGATGTGGGCCGCAGATTTCTCCCCATTGAGGATGCCTTTGGCAACGGCAGGCTTGGGGGCGCGGGAAGATACAGGCTTGACTGGAACCAGTGGTTTGCTCCTCTTAGCGGGCGGGTTTGACGCCTCTGGCTGCTTCCTCTTGGTTAGAGCAGGATCTGGCTTCTTGGGAGCAGGTGCTGCCACAGGGACAGCAGCTGGAGCGGGGGTGGCAGGCTTGATGAGCTCGGTCTGAGCGCTAGAGTCCTTGCAGGTGGGAGCAGGGCTAGTTTGAGTGGTTTGGCAGGTTTTCTTGTGCATTTGGGCATCCATGATTTCATCCAGCTCCATGAAGTCATTCACGGTGCCCGTGAGGTTCTTCACATCCCTAACTAGGCACTTGATTATTTCTGTTCGCTGCTCAATGAAGCGAACAAGGTCCAGGTGAAGAGCTGCTAGGGAGGGCTGGCCGAGGGATTGCAGGATTTGGTAGTGGCGGGAGATGACCATGTTGTCTTCTTCAACAAGAGCCGCGATGTCAACCGAGGGTTGAGAGGGCTTATTGGCTTTCTTCTTCTTCTTGCAGGAATCCATGGCGGGAGAGTGTCGGAGCGTAGCCATTAAAGGTTAAAGTAAAACAACAATATATTTATATAGGGAAAGCCGTGACTTCTGGCGGTCAAATTACAGAGTAATTTGTTCTATAAAGTTATAATTTTAAAATAAAATAATTTTTATATAACATATATATAGTATTAAAAGGATAGCATAATTTGGATCAATATAATTTATTAAAGGATATTTCCGATATTTTGATGAGGCTGTTCGCCTATCTTCCTCTAGGAATTCAAACTCCTTCTAAGCCCATCATCCGCGTTGTGCATCAGTGATGAATACATATATATATGTTATATAAAAATATAATTTTCTTTCAAATTATATTTCATACATTAAACAATTCTGTTAAGTCTACCACCAGATGTCGCGACTTCCCTTTATATAACCTATTGTTGTTGTTTTCTGTTGGCCGGCTCAAACCTTTTGTAATTATGTAAATAAGTCTTTTATTTTCTTCTTTACATCTCAAATCAGATATTTTCCCCTTAATTATGTATTTTGTATTTCATCAGCACAATTAAAGCTAATTTTGATATATCTAAACTAGTTTTATTATTGTTCACACGACTGCAAAACAATATAATTTAAATAATCATGTATACCAACCTCAAGCAAATGCTTAATCCTTAAAAATTTCAGCTTCAGCAAGTAATAATTCTATTACTCTAAATCCAAAATAAACGGCAGAAAATCTCTCATTGTAATATATATATGTAGTAATGTAGTTGCGTTGTTCTGTTGGATGAATGTAGTGTGGCATGTTGGTTGCAGTCGTGGTGGCCACAATGTTTAGAGTGGGTTCAGGCGTGATTGGGATTGTACAAAAGGACGAGGCATGTTAGATGTCACTACAGAGATGGCGAGAGAGTGAGTGTAGCCGACACCGGTCAGAGGAGAACTGTCGAGAGGGGTCTGTCAATCGTGTCTCAAAGCGGACCTATCTGTTTGAGTAAGAAAGGGGCACACCTGGGAACCCGACTTATTTTTCGGACCTTTTTCCTCCACTGGCGCCGACTTAATTTGTAATATTATTTTTCATATATTTAAAATTCAAAATTATATTTTATATTTAATTATTTTATTAAACAGAATATATGTATTATAAACAGAATATATGTATTATAGAATCATCATTTGTATTTAGGTAAACTGTGTGACTTCACTGCTCTCTTTGATGTGAAAAATAAATAAATTATTCTGGAGGCTACTTAAAGTAGAGTTATCTCTTTATTCCCTTATACAAAATTGTAGGATGGTTTAAACACGCTCTGGTAAGATGCAAGACCCAGCACAGGAGATAATCAAGGCTGAAGAGTCTGCCAAGCCGCAACCTGGTGCAACAATTGGTAGAGATGCTAGTTCCGACCCAGTTGTCCTGAATCCCAACATCGACATCCCCAAGTATGATGGGACAGAAGACCCTCGCCCATGGATTGAATCTCTTAAAGAAATTGGCTTCCTGTACCATTGGGCAGACTACATTATCTCCCGTTATGCTGCCATGAATATGATGATTGGTAGCGCCAAAACCTGGCTGAACCTACACAAAATAAGTTTCACCAGCTGGGAAAATTTCGAAGCCGCCTAATTGAGGATTTTGCCTCAGACGCCAACAAAGAAGAAATGAGGATGAGATTAAACAGGATGCAACAGTGGAATGAACCTGCAATCACTTTCGCAGAAGATATCCTTGTACTGTGCAACAAGGTCGACCCCCAAATGAAAGAAGAGACTAAAATAAACTGGGTTATTGGAGGGTTAAAGAAAGAATACTCTTTTGCCTTTCACCTAAACCCTCCTAAAAATACTAATGAACTTCTTGAAATTTGTAAAAAGCTGGATTTGTTCGAAAAGAATTACCAAGAACGTGTGGAAAAATCAAAAGCTCTTTATAATGGACCACGCTCTCCTCGTCCCCATCATCAAGAGCAATGGAAGAACGCTCCGTCGTTCAGAAGACCATACCAGGACACCTCCAAGCCCCAGGCCCCCGCTCCGAGGTACTACCAGAACACCTCCCAGGCCCCCACTCCGAGGTACTACCAGAACAAGCCTCTGCCCCAGGTATCTGCCCCTAGACGATCTTACACTCCCAATCCTGAGCCAAAACCGGTTTACCCAAGTAAAACATACAATAAGAGTCCAAATTCAAACAGGAATAGGACAGAAGACGGGAGACCAATATGTTTCAAGTGTAACAAGCCAGGACACGTAGCGCGGTATTGCAGAGTCAGGTTTGTAAGAATTGTGGAAGAGGACCCCATAGTTACACAAGACAAGGTCGAAGAAGAAATCCGAATGGATAATGGAACTGAGAAGTCGAGACCTCTGCTCTACGCTGACGTAAGTAATAGCACGTACTCTGGTATCCCTACAAGGAATAGATATGCCGCATTAGAAGATTTAAACTAAGCATCGCGCCTGAGTCCGTCAATCAAAGCAAGTCGACCATAAATGGAATTAAAAAGTTGGACCCCAAATATAAAATGAACATTAACGTGGATAGAATCGGTATCTGCGAAGCTTTGATTGATACAGGCGCCGATCTTTCAGTGGTCGACCTTAGTACAGCTCTTAACACAGGTCTTGAAATAATAAATCCTGATAAAATGTGCTCCGGACCCGATGTCAAAGAATTAGATATCGTAGGAAATATTATTTTAAATATAAAATTTGATGACAAAACAATTACACATCAATTTGTGCTAATGAGAACACATTTGCGAATATTTATACTTGGACGAGATTTTCTTAAGAAAATGAACGCAAAAATTGATTGTCAGCGTGAAATAATCAAATATGACTTGACAGAAAATTGTGACGTAATCAAATATCAACAGAAGAAAATAAAAAGTGCAAAGGATGCCATTATACCAGAACTTTCTATTAAATTGATTAATGCATTTGTAGAAGCAGAGGATGGCGAATACATCATCGAGGAGAACCATAAAATGTTTCAAACAAATGGACTTCGACTAGCGAGAAGCTTAATAAATG